AGGGCCAATCTACATCCAGCAACATCAGGCACGACAATGTTTCTGCTAATCCCACTACTAGCTCTTCCATCCTTCCCATTACGGTTAACCTCAGATATTTTCTCTGATAAGTGTAGGTGTCCCCGTGAATACAGACCATGCTCATGGGCATCTCTTCCTCTCCTGCCTGGGGTGAAACCAGGTCAGCCCTTAGCATAGTCTGAGTGCAACCCGTATCGACCACTACTGGTACTATAAGGTCCCTGATCTTCACATCCACCATCGACTTGGCTCAACACCAGGGACCTTTATGTCAACCAAAACTACAGCCTATCTTTTCTTCATGGGGTTTCTCCCCAATATGATCTCCCCTAGTCTCCTGGGCTCAGAATTTTCCTGTGTGGCCTTGATTCCCACAGCAATAACAGGTTCTCTCTCTGAGCTCCTACCCCCTGGGTTCCTTTGTGAGTCCTCTCACAATCTCCAGCTTTCTCCATCAGCCTCCGGAGTCTCAGCATCCTGTCAACAAAACATTTCCATGTTTCCCTGATTTCTCATGTTCAGACTCTCTCTCTGTGGCTGTAAAGGCTTTGGCCAAGCACAGGGCTTCCTCCATTGATTGAGGCTGATGTCTCCTTACCCACTTATGGGTTTCTCCACCAAAGTCAGTGAGAAATTTCTCCAGTGAGAAGACCTTCACTACATACTTGCCCTCTGGTTGGATCCATCTCTCTAGAAGGTCTTTAAGCATCTGTGTCAAAAACTGAGGTCTCAACTCCTCTGTCTTCTTCCCACAGAACCATTGTTGGTAGTACTGTGGGGAAACGTCTAAGCAGTATAGAACGGCCCTTTTCACCTTCTCATAATCTCTTGCGTTGGCTTGGGACAATGCCCGGTCTGGGCCTATGAGTAAGGGGCCCAGTTGGCCAGCCCACCCAGCCCACTTCTTCTCTTAAACAGGGACCAATATTTGTCCCCTGTTACACCATTTCCAAGCACTTGGAGGAGAAGGTGATTAGCAGGGATCTGGGTTTGCCATTCCCCACAGAAAAACACAGATTTTTCTCCTTTAAGGAAGAAAAACATGGTAAACACACAGGCTTCCCCTTGCAGGCCGGTCACCTTCCAGCCTGCAAGGAGCTGCTTGGGGCTGGTGGAAGTGGAGGAGGGCGATTGGAGGCAGGGAATGCCAAGTGTGTGTGCGCACACACGTCTGCAGCAGGAGTGAGAGCATGAGCAGGAACAGGACAGTGTGCATGGCACAGAGCTTTCCCTTTTGGCAGCAACGGCTATGAACTGAGCTGCCCTGTGCCATGGAGTCTACCTGCTTCCTCGGCACCCTCCGCCTATTTCTGTGCCTGCTGGCATGTACGCACAGAGGCCTCAGCAGAGAGGCACAGAGGGAGGGAGGGGGACATTAGGCAAAAGACTTGGGCTGGGAGGCCCCAGGACATGGCCAGGGCTGGGGCTCTTTGTGGCTCCATAGTGGGTGGGGAGATCAATGGGTTGTCTTCTTTCAAGGTACTGCACCTGTTTCCCCCACTCCCAGCCCAAGGGCTTGGGCTCAACTTTGGTAGGCTCCTGCCCTCCCCAGGCCCATGAGCACACGTGCACCTTGCACGTGCTCTTCCTGCTTCCCCCAGCCACCAGCCTCACCCCAATCCCCGCCAGCCTGCTTTGCACTGCCCACCCCAGCTTTTTTTTTTTTTTTTTAATTGCTCCACTGACTTACATGGCAGGGGGCAGAAGCAGAGAGAAAAACAGTGCTTCACTGGAAGAGGAAGTGTGTTAGTTGGACCTGGGTCCGCTGACTCCATATAGATCAGGCACTTCAGTGGAGCTCTTTGGTGCTTTTATCCAATAGCCAATTCAATCAGTTGTGGGTGGGCAGTGAGGGGTACTGGCAGGGCTAGGAAACTGTGGGTCAGGAGTGAGGGAAACCAGTAGGACCAGGGAGGGGCTGTGGGTTGGGAGTGAGGGGCAATGGCATAGGCAAGGGCAGGGCACTGGCATATCAGGGCTGCTTGGCACTGCAAAGCAGTGGGGGAAGGAGAGAGGCAGTCACAGCTGGACCTGGGTCCTGGTGAGCAAAGGGGGCAGAAAGAACTCTGGTTTTGTGTGATAAAAAAACCAAAATCAAGTACCAAAATATGTAAGTATTTAGAATGATTGAGGCACTGGTAGGCTTCTCAATTGCTTTCTAATTGTAAATATATCGATAAAACAGTGTTTATTTTAACTGATATATACAGTAGTGGTGTTTCATTTTAGTTCAGAAAAACCTGGATTTGGGGTTTTTTAGTCAGAGAATTTGTGATTTTTAAACTGAGAAAACCAGGATCCCTGGTGATTGGGAACAATCAGCATGTATTCTTTAAGAACGAGTCTTGCCTGACAAACTTGTTTGCCTTCTATGAAGATGACTGGCTCTGTGGATGCAGGGACAGCAGCGGGTGTGATATACCTTGACTTTAGCAAAGCTTTTGGTACCATCTCCCACAACCTTCTCACAAGCAAGCTAAGACAGTCAAACTGGATGAATGGACTGTAAAGTGAATGGACAACTGGCTGGATTGTTGGGCCCAAAGGATAATAATCAGTGGCTCGATATCTAGTTAGAAGCAGGTATTAAGTGGAGTGCCCCAGGGGTTGGTCCCGGGGGTGGTCTTGTTCAATATCTTCATCAATGTTCTGCAAGATGGCGGAGTGCACCCTCAACAAGTTTGTGGATGACACCAAGCTCGGTGGAGTAGTAGATATGCTCAAGTGTAGATTCAGAGTGACCTAGACAAATTGGAGGATTGTACCAAAAGAAATCTCATAAAGTTAAGCCAACAGTGTGCTTTAGTAAAAGTGCTGCCAGCAGAACAAGGAAAGTGATAAATCCTTTCTATTTGGCGCTGGTGAAGCCACATCTGGAATACTATGTCCAGTTTTGGGTCCCCCCACTACAGAAAGGATGTGAATAAACTGGAGAGAGTCCAATGGAAGGCAACAAAAAATGCTTAGAGGGCTTGGGAACATGACTTCTGAGAAGAGGTTGTGGGAAATGGGTTTATATGGTCTGGAGAAGAGAAGACTGAAGGAGGATTCAACAACAGCCTTCCACTACCTGAAGGGTGGTTACAAAGGAGATGGAGCTAGACCAGGGGTTGTCAACCAGGGGTATGCATACCCCTGGGGGTACTTGGGAAGGGCCCAGGGGGTAGGTGGCAGTGGTTTGGAGAAGTGAGGGCACTTCCAGTTTTGCCGGTGGCCTGGCTTTGCTACGGGGGACCTCTCCCACCCCCCATCCCCACCAGGGGATCTCTCTCCTCGCTCACCGATTGGTCGGGGGTCTCCCTGCTTGTTGACCAGCCTCCAGGGATACACCAACCAAAAAAGGTTGAAAACCCCTGAGCTAGACTGTTCTCAGTAGTGGCAGATAACAGAACAAGGAGCAATGGTCTCATGTTGCAGCAAGGGAAGTTTAGGTAAGATATTAGGAAGAACTTTCTTACTAAGAGAGTAGTAAAGCACTGGAAGAGGCTAACCAAAGAGTTTGTGGAATCTCCATCTTTACAGGTTTTTAAGACCTGGGTAGACACAGCCTTGGATGGGATGATCCAGTTGGGGATGGTCCTGCTTTGAGCAGGGGCTTGGACTAGACGACCTCCTGAGGTCCCTTCCAACCCTAATTTTCTAATATTCAATTACTTCTGATTCCTACACCCAATTTCCTACCGACTTATTGTCTGCAAGCAATTCTTCTCTTGCTTGTTGAGCTAACACAGGACGCTCCCATAGAGGATGCAGTGCTGTGGAATTTGAAGTTTGCCATTGATAAGATTTAGAAAGTCCAAGGATGGGTCAGTGCTGCAGCAGGAGCCTTCCCGCCTCCATCCCCTGGAGGAAGGTTACTGCTTCTCACCATAGGCAGCAGTTCCAGCATAATTGTGCAGTAAGTTTGGTCCTTGGGCCCGCACTGTTCAACATCTTCATCAACATCTTGGACGAGGGGGTAAAAATTAGCAGATGACACTGATATGGGAAGTGGGCACGCTAGAAGGGAGGAATAGGCTGCAATTGGACCTAGACAGGCTACAGGGGGGGGCAGAACAGGATGGGTTTCAACACTGACAAGTGCAAGGTGCTGCACCTGGGGAGGAAGAACCAGCAGCACACCTACAGGCTGGGGAACTCCCTTCTCATCAGTGCAGAGGCAGAAAAGGATCGTGGAGTCATTATTGATGCCAAAATGAACATGGGCCGACAGCGTGGGGATGTGGTCAGGAAGGCCAACCACACCTTGTCATGCATCCAGATGCATCTCAAGCAGGTCGAAGGAGGTGATCCTCCCCCTCTATGCGACACTGGCCCGGCCACAGTTGGAGTACTGAGTCCAGTTATGGGCACCGCACTTCAGGAGGGATGTGGACAACATGGAGAGGGTCCAGAGGAGGGCCACCTGCATGATCAGGGGGCCGCAGGGCAGGCCCTACGAGAGGCTAAGGGCCCTGAACCTGTTCAGCCTCCACAAGAGAAGGCTGAGAGGGGATCTGGTGGCTGTGTATAAACTGGCCAAGGAGGACCAGCACGTAATGGGAGAGTCCTTGTTCCCCCAAGCCCTACTGGGAGTAACAAGGAATAATGGCCATAAATTGATGGAGGGTAGATTCAGGCTAGATATCAGGAGGCGCTACTTCACTGTCAGGGCAGCTAGGAGCTGGAACCAACTTCCAAGGGAAGTGGTGCTGGCTCCTACCCTGGGGGTCTTTAAAAGGAGGCTGGATGAACCCCTTGCTGGGGTCATTTGCCCCCAGTACTCTTGGGGTAGGCAGGGGGTCGGACTTGATGATCCGCTCAGGTCCCTTCCGACCCTACCAACTGTGAAACTAAGCAATGTGCTCCATTGAGTTAGGGTATTGATCCTAAGCAAGGATGCTCGAGACAGCAGCAGACTCCCACACAACTATCAATCCTACTGATGCCCCTTCCCCACGTCCTGCCAAGGAACCAGCCAGAGCTCACTGCATCTCTTCTCTAGGGTTTTATTTCACAAACAAAACAAAGATCCACGGATTATCCAGGCCCCTCCCCTCCCTCCCCCTAACTCTTGACACCAAAAGGAAATAAATTACAAGTTGGGGGGGGAAACATGCCCAAAGGGAATGTGGCCTCAGTTTCCCCGCTACGGCCTCAGCCCCCCTCATCCTGGGTTCTAGAGTCAGACAGAGCATGGCGGCCGGGGGGGGGGGTGGGCTGTTCACAGGTGGAAAGGGTCATGCAGGCCCTGGGGGTGCAGGGTGAAGGAGGCACAGGGCACTCAGCAAGGACTGAGGAGAATGCTGAGCCCCAAAGGAAGGGACAGCTGCCTCTCCCCCACCCCATCCCACCCCAGTTGCTTTGATGCCAACAGCAGAGCCTGATGGAAATGTGCCAGTTCCGGTCTTCATCTGAGGAGGAGTCAGAGGGGATGTTTCCCAGCTTCCAACAGCAACTCTCCCATTCTCCAGAAAATGGTCCTGCTTAGCCATAGTTCCCCAGAGGAGCAGCATGGTCTGCTTTAGACAATAACCGAGTTCAAGTGCTGGGAGAAGAGGACTGTGCATCAAAACTGAAAGGGTATCCACAGAGGGGTAGAGGAACACTGGACTGGGCTGCTGTGGAAATGAGGGGTACAGCCCAGGATGGGGAGGAAGACCTATGGGTGGGCTTGTTAGCTGGAGCAGGCAGGAAGTTATGCTGGATAAATTCTCAGGTGCAGACACAGAAGTCTCTCTGCCTGGGACACTGGCACCAAACCCAGGCCCCTGGCGCTGCCATCGCCTGCATCTCCTTCTTCTGCAGTCTGGCCCATGGAGGGCTTCTGCTCAGGCAGCAGCGACTGAATGTCGCTCTTAGCTAGGGGGTGCCACCACCGTGGTGAGCACTGCCTGCTGCAATACGGCATGGCACAGCATGGCGCAATGCAGGGCTGCTCTCACTCTTCGCTCTCCATCTTGAGGCTGATGCTGCGGGCTTTAGCATGGGGTGGGGGTGGGGTGCCTCCCTCACACTCTGCCTGGCTGGGCCCCCGTGACCGCAACAGCTGGCTCTGCTTGCGCAGGAAGTCGACAGGTGCAGGACAGCCATAGGTACCTTTGCCCAGGGTGGGCCGTGGCGGCCCCTTGGGTGAGTGTGCCAGCAATGCTGCCTCCAGTTGGGCCAGGTGGGCCACATAACCCTCGGACAGGAACTGTGAGACAGACAAGCACATGTGACAAGCAGCATGAGAGTGGAGGTGGCAGGCTGGCCCAGAGTGGGTACCAGGCAGGTTAGGATAGGGCCAGGGGTGCCGCCTGCCTTCCCTAATCCAACCACGGGATTGACTCAGCCATCTGGCAGCATGCCTAAAACATGGGAAATGAGGGGGGAGCCAGCACCCCATCCCCACTCCATAGCAGCTAGTGCCCCTGACTTGAGCTTGATAGGGGGCAGCACCCCCAGGGGAAAGAGGCCCCTTTCTCATCCCCACCTCATAAAAACCAGCCAGGTCCCTGGTGCTTGCTGACTCCCCATGCTCACCACCTCAGCCAGTCCTGGCCAGCCCAGAGCTCCTAGAGAGGAAAGGCTGCTGCCCCTTGGCTGGATCAGGGCCATGGCTTCTTCGGGAAAGAAAGCCCTTGCTCTGTCCATCCCCACCCCACCCCCCGTCCGTCCGTCATTGCCCCCCCCCATCCATGCCAGCTAGTTTCCTTCCCTGGGGCTGAATCACGGCAGATGCTCCTACCTGACACTGGCTCTGCAGCTTCTTGACAGCCCGTCCCACAATGTAGATCTGGGAGGGCAAGAGCCCCAGGGAGCTGTAGACCGAGATGTCCTTGGCAGAGCCATAGCCAGCCATGATAGTGATCTCTGCCTGCAGCACAGAATGGTCACTTAGCCCACTTCACTCTGGCTGCATCCTGTCTCCCTCCCATCACCCTACATGGACCACACATGCACCCAAACCCCAACTTCTCCGGCAGGTTTGGCTATGCCCAAGCCCCAGCCCTAACACCCATGGCCCCAAATGTGCTCAAACCTCAGATCCTCTAGCACCTCCCACAGGCCCCAGCCACACCCATGGCCCAATCCCCATCAGATGGGGCCCACCTCAGTGCGTAGGCTCTGCAGGAAGGCAGCTTTCTGGCGCAGGGGGTCATGGGTAAGACCGTCGCAAAAGGAGACAACACCATGGGGGAAGTTGTGCTGGGACAGCCAGGCCACCACGCGGTGCTTCTGCATGTCAGGCCTGCCTGTCACATAGACGATCATGTAACCTGAGTCCTGCCAGTGCCTGGGGACAACATAGCACTGCATCACATATCCTGGCCCTCCTCTCCTGCAGAACTAGATGATGAAGAGGGGAAGCCAGTGGGATAGCAGGGGTGACTCTGGGGTACAGAAAGGAACAGGCAGGTGGGTGCACAGAAGGGGCAGCAAGGGGACACTGGGGGCAGTGAGGAATGAGCTGGGGACATAGCAAGGTACAACTGGAAAGCAACAGGAAAAGAGGTCATGGTGGTAATACAGCAAGTGCTGGAGGATTGGCCAGCATAGTCAGGGGGACTTTGAGAGAGCACTGCATCCTGGGGGTAAGTGGCAGGAGGCAGCATAAGGGAGGGGGTGGTACCTACCTCACCACATCCACAGCACCCGCCCGCACCTTGGGGTCACTGCCCATGATAGAAACACTGGCTGTGAAGGAGCCATCAATGCTGAATACAACTGCCTCTGTGCCCCGTGCCACCACGGTCAGGTATGCCTCAGCATAGCTGTGATCACCCCTGCCAGGGAGGGTCAAGAAGGTGGGCAGCATTAGGGCTATAGAGACACCATGACAAAGCCCTTGACAAGGCCTAGAAGGAACTGACCCCATCCCCTCCATTTCTCCACCCACCCTACCCTTCACAGAAATGGCCAGGGGAGCCTGCTATCCGCTAAACCCACAGTGACATCCGTTGGAGCAATCCATCACTCTCCTGCCAACCGTCCCCCAACAGGACCTGAGGGACTTGGTACCTCTACCAGAATCACACACCATTGGGGTGGGAGGGTCTCACCTGACCACCATGCGCACAGGGTACATGCCGATGGCCAGGGCCTTGTCGGGTGGGATGGTGAAGGCCAGACGCCCGCTTCCACTAGTCACTTCCGTGCCATAGTACAGCCACTTCCCTGACAGTGGTTGCGTCATGATGTAGATGTCCACCTGGAGGGCACCAGCATTGGGATATGCTGCTGGGCCACCCAGACAGGCCCAGCCCCTCCGCACCACTCCCAAACTCATTGTTAACTCCCCAGGCAGGACTTGCTCTTCTCCACAATCGGTACTCCTGGTTAGGTCCTTGATGGTGGTAGCACAACTGAATGGGAGCAACTGGGACTGCCCCTCCAGGTGCTGCCTTTGTGAGAGGGTGCAAGAGCTGGCACTGCCAAGTAGCAGCTGATTACACTACCGCATTTGGCATGGCAGAAGCCGGAGCTGCCTCAGGTACCACACGGCTGCCCCAAGTGTGAAGCTGCATTGTTATGCCTCTGTCCATGGACTCCCCAAATCTTATGCCCTGGTGGGACACTATGACAGATCCCCTCAAACTCCTCATCCACTTGGGGCACTGGTAGTGGCAATCCCAGCACCAGAGCCCAATTGGATCTACAGCCCAGCCTTGCTCCCCCCACAGTGCCCATACCTTCTCCCCTGTCAATGTCACTACATCCAGGGGCCCGTACATGAAGCGCCCACTCAGCACTTGGGGCCTCCCCTCACAGACAACGACATCGCTGGCACGGTGGTTGGCTGTCACATTCTGCAAGGCAAGGGGAAGGGGAGTCAGTGGGAGGCTGGAGCCACTGCCAGAAACCCATTTTAAATTGCATAGTAAGGCGGGATGAGATCAGAAGAGAACCAAGCTTGCCAGCCAATGCTCCCCGCTCCAAGGGCTTCACTCTTGATACCTAAAAGGGCTTACAGAAAGCTGGCAAATCCAAAACAATGCCTTGACTGCAACCCCATTTTGCCCCCA